TTTGGTAATTTATATACTGATGTAGCGACATGCTATATTTATAGTGGTTAAAAACATTAACAATGGACCACCCTAACTATAAATCCTGGCTACGCCACTGTGTGAAGAGACATGCAAGCTGACCTTGGTAATAGAATGGCTGTGCCTGAGAAGCATAGAAGTTGTGTGCACCATTATGGCCCCCATCCATATTGGATGTGCCAGCTTGGGTTTGGCCTTCACTTGGTAGATCGATAGCATTTGAATCAACTGAAATTGGGGGCACAGCTGCTTTCTCATCCTTACTGGCAACAGGCTGAGATAGATGGTTGATACAATCGACAAACAGAGTAAATAAACAAAGTGTAAAAAAAGGATAAAAAAACAGTAATACAGTAATGAGTAATGACCTGCTCCTTAGGCTTCTCGGAGAGATCTATCTTTTGTTCGACATTGGCTACTGGCTCCTGCTTATCCATAGAGCCTGAAATATCAAGGTTCAACAAAATCATGTCAGGCTTCAACAAATGAGGCTATCCAATTGTATGTGATAAACTGAGTGCAACATATTCTATTATTATGAAGTATAAGCTAAACTTTCACATTGGCCTTAAATAGCAAAGAAGGATAGTTGCTTCCCTAACATATTTACATCAAAATACCATGTGATTGCATCACCCAGTACATAGCATACACATTGTATTGACTTGTATCCGAATATGTTGATCATTGATAAAAGCACATACAGGGAGTTGCAATCAGCAGTGCTCGAAATTCTCATACTTGTGGCATGTACTTGGCCTCTTACTAGGTCTACAGGGTAAAGGAGCTTACGATTAACATGCATCATTCTATTCAGTGAAAACAATACCACATCTCAGGGAATATATAGCCACATGACATTGGCAGAACCCTCTAGGCTAGCACGATCTGCACCAACCATCAACATGACGTACAGTCGAGGTATGACAAATAGCACACGAAGCCCATTCAGGCATCGAAAACTATGTACGGCACGCACGAATTGACCGTGCAAGCAATGCTACAGGAACCAGATACACGTGACAACAGCACCGTACCCAACCAATTAAATGTGATATCGATGCACATAAACTTGTGCACGCGAACCAAGGGAACCTACCGAAAAGGACTCGCAATGCGTTAAGCTGAAGCTCGGGCGATTCCGCCAGACCTTGCTGCGCGAAACAGCAGCGTGCACCATGTGGAGCAAGAAGCCTGATCAACTCAATTTGAGGCCCCCGGGTTCTAAACCAATTTACTCAAAATATCTCGAATCGCATAAGCCATGACATGACATGAACATTAGTAACGTCTGAATTGACGCAAGATCTTACGCAGGGTGACACTGGGGGGCAGACGCATCAATCAAAGAAATCGAATCGGCGACAACCCGGACGGGTCGGATAATAAGGAGAAGAAGGATTTGAATTTGCAGGCTCTCCGATCAAACCATAGCAGCAGAGTGTGCAGAACAAAATCCCTTACCGGCAAGGCAATAAGAAGGAATCAAGCAGTCCGGGCTGCAGGGAGGGATCTCCGCTCCAGCGAGCGGCGAGGGCGCGCCTACGATAGAAGGAAGAGGAGCGGTGGAAGGACGCCCGGATCGGCGCAGAGGCCGGCGGATCTGGCGATCGGATCGGGCTCCCACACCCACACCTGTGTGTAGCTCGTGATCTGATAGAGAGGAGACGGGACCGTGACCTTCAGCTATATAAGCTAAAAGTTATTGCCAACGAATATTATTTTTCTTTCGTATCAAATCCATGTAATTTCACCTATGATTTATAAGCTAAATCAGGTCAGACTGGTTGGTGGGGCGATTGGTGCTACACTGCTACCATTTTCTATTTCTCTTCTCTTCTTAGAAAATGCTGCGCAGTTTTTTTTTTATTCTTGATTGACGATGATTTGTAAGTGTACACGTATATAGACTAGAATTATGCCCGTGTGTATTGAGGCCATAAATTTCTGTCCACAGCCACAGTGCGGATTCATACATACACAAAATGAAAAAAAAAAACTAATAACATGACGCGGACGGTGATCTCGACGATTTCGTATGGTAAGCGGGCACGTGGATTAGGCCTTCGTACTAGAATCGTTTAGGACGAGGGAACTTAAGCTCCGAGCAAGATGATTCGTATCATACACGGAGGTGTAAACAGGGACTAAGGCCTGGTATCACTGGTAGATGTTAAGAGACTATTGGCGTTTGAATTTTGAGCGTGTTTAGTTTCAGGAAGTTGGAATTTTGGGTTACTGTAGCATTTTTGTTTTTATTTGGCAATTAGTGTTTAAACATGAACTAATTAGGCTCAAAATATTCGTCTCGCAATTTCCCACCAAACTGTGCAATTAGTTTTTTTCGTCTACATTTAATGCTTCATGCACGGGCCGCAAACATTCGATGTGATAGATACTGTAGCATTTTTTTGGATTTTATGGTGGAACTAAACACGCGCTTTGATTTTGAAAACAGTGAAAGATAGATATGTGTACTCCCAATCCTAGAGTAAGCATACACCGTGTGTTTCGTGAAGTCAACTAGTTTAAGTTTAACTATATCTCTATTTTTAATATATATTAGCAAACATTTTTGTACGTTGTAACGGAACTCAATAATATAAGATCAGACTATGTCCAATCGCTACTAGATGAATATTGTTCTAACCCGTATAAGTACGGATCATGAGTCGGAATGATATATATTGTGAAATCGGATTACGTATTTATCATCACTAGACATGAGCTATCCTAACTCTATGAGGACTTGTTTGGATTGGAGGAATTTCAAAGGAATTCAATTCCTATGTTTTGCTTATATCATATGGTGTTTGTAATTGAGGAATGAAGTTTTTCTTTCCTATAGAAAGGCTTGCTTTCCTTAATAAAATGGAGGAAATAAAACATCCGCTCCAAACTCTTGAAAAATTTTCCTACATATGAATGGAGAGATGAGTAAGCCCTTGTTCACTAGAATGGAGGAAATAAATATGTTCTTATATTCCTGTGTCCCAAACACTCGTTTCTATAAAAATTCTTTGTTTTTTTAATCCTCTGTTTTCTACCTACACTTATTTTCAATTCCTGTGTTTCTCTTCCTTTCTTCTGTTTTACGTTTCTCCGTTCCAAACAGGTGCTGAGTATGGATTATAGTAATTCGATATCTCTATAGCTCTACCAATTGCACTACAAGATTGAATCGAAGTCTAGCGACAAGGAAGAGAAGACTGCCAGGCCCTACTGAAGACAGCAACCAATAGGTTCTAGCACAAACTTCTCTTTCAGAAAAAGCTACTGGCCTACTGCAACCAGAACTCCAGAAGATATCAAACCATAAAGGCATAATGACCACATAAATTTCTTCATCCAAATCGTTGTCATTCGGAGAGGTAGTTGTCCAGGATGAGGGAGGGTGTAGATACTCCTACGAATCTGCCTTGCTGCCGTTGGCTCTGGCAAACAACTTCAACTTAGAGTCCATTTGGCAGCTCCAACAACTCCGGATGTATCTGTAACAAACATCTCTAGATCTATTTTTTCAAAGTCAAACACCTCTAGCTTCACGTAGATCCACCGTAGAGTAGCTCCACAAAATCTACAGATATGTCCCTAAGCCACGGATTTCGTGAAGCATGGAGTCAGAAAAAATTACCCATAACTATCATTGATTAAGTACACATATTCTTTTTCTTTTTTTCCTTTCCTCTGTTGCGACTCAACACCCCGTTCCCCGCCGTGCTGCACGCTGACGAGCGAGCAAGGCCGCGCAACCCTACCACCGTGCGCGCTCTGCCGCCCGATGTGTCTCACGTCGCCGCCGTCATCCCCGCAATATATCTTCCCTAATAACTATATAAAAGGTGGGTCCCACGGGAGTGTAGGAGAAAAGATGATTGAAAATGTTAGTTCTCATATTCTCCATGTCATTAGGGAGATACAACTCCGCTTTATTTGAGGGGAGATGAGGGGAATGTTTGTGACCAAAAAAAAGAAGAGGTATTGAGAAATTGCTGGAGAAAAAATATTGTTATCCTCAATATAATAGTTTTATAGAGATAAGGAGAAGTATTAAGGTATGTATTGCAGAGATGCTCTCAGCTGAACCATTTTTGCTACAAAACGCTTCATCAGGGTTGACGATCGAGCCGGTCTAGACCAAAACCACAACCATCAAGAGTCCCTTTTTGCGACTTGAAATACCTCCCCTCCTCCTCCTTTTACTTTCCAAACCGCAATCACGTCCTTCCTCCATGTCTCATATGTATCCCGAACTCTTGACTCATATTCATATGACTTAGGACAACTCGCGTATCGATGATAAATATAGAGTCCGATTCCACTACGTGTCGGGTCACACCCTAGGTATCTCGTATGTAACCTGTGCTCGTATAAGTTAGAATAGCTCGCATCTAACGATGAACACAAAGTCCGAATCCTATACGTATTCCGTTCCGTTGCAATGCGCAGATACGTTTTCTAGTAATTACTCATAGCCACTTTCATGAAGAAAACCTAAATGCCATGAAGACTCTTTCGAAGGAATATAACGAAGTTTTTACAATTAAAATTACACATACCCATTGAGCAAAATCCGTTGTAGTCTGGCTGGTTAGGATACTCGGCTCTCACCCGAGAGACCCGGGTTCGAGTCCCGGCAAAGGAGTAACCTTTTTAGTCTTTCAATTCAAACCTTTTTTAATGTAAATTAACAATGCCAGTCGTGGGCCAAAGAACAATACAGAAGCAGCCCAATAAAAGCCCAAACTGTGCCTTTCCTTCCCTCGTCAGCTCTCCACACTCCACAGCCGCCACGGCCACCGCCAGCCGAGCCAACCAATCCGGCAATCCGCAATCCCCCTTCCACTGCTCCGGTCGTCCACCGATTCCGCGTGCGCGCCCTACCCCTTCCCCGTCCGCCTCCCTTATTTAATCGCTTCTCGTTTCCCGCGTGCTGTGCGAGACTGCGAGGCGAACCGGAACTGATGCTCGGCCCATCCATGGCGGAGGCGGCGGCGACGACGGGTTGCGGCGGCGACAAGCTCATCCTGCGCGGCCTGCAGTTCCACGGCTTCCACGGCGTCCTGAAGGAGGAGCAGACGCTGGGACAGAAGTTCGTCGTCGACATCGACGCCTGGATGGACCTCACCGCCGCCGGTGAGTCCGACAGCATCGCTGACACCGTCAGCTACACCGACATCTACGGGTGGGTAGTGGTATGTCAGCCTTAACGATGATTCATTGGAACAACAAATTGGTAGAAATTAGCATTCTTTTCGGAATTTCAACTCGTATGCTTACTAAAGTGGCACGAGGTCATCGTATATGTATGCAGCTTCCCTGATTTCAGTCCGTAGTATTCTCCTCTAGAAAAGAGTAGTGAATCTCCTTGTTTCAGGATGAATCACGATGCTGTTTCAGAGGTCTGCTCGGAAATTGTTGTAATTACGAAATGATATTTTTCATGTTGACATCAGTATGTAAGTTTAGAACGTGTGCAGGGTCCTGCTCCCGAATTCCGATTGTACTCCCCACTTGCTTTGGAGAGGACGTACATACACTTCACTACTTCAGAGTCCCAACATAGTTTATAAACACGTTGTTTCAGATTTCCTTATCATAGAGTCCCAACATAGTTTATAAACACGTTGTTTCAGATTTCCTTATCATGCTAGTAGTATGTTTTTATCCCTGTCTAGCACTTTAAAAAAAATCCCCACCCCACCTCACGTCGTTGGCGTACAAGTCTAGATGACATTTTTTTAGATACACTTTGATTTGCAGTTGGGTACTTGGAACTGAGCTGGGGATTTGGATTGACCATGATCTGCAATATAGCATATTTAAACTAGCATAGTGTTACAGGCGGCCTATGTGCCTCTGAATTATTGGTTTCAAAATTTCAGTTGGTAGCGGACTGGGGATTTCTATAATTTACAGCTGGCATTAGGGCATTATATATTCAGCTTTTTCTTTCGTTGATTCACTACCCTCTAATATAAGAAAATCTAATTGTTCTTCTCCTCAACTCAGTTCTGTAATGTAAGTTCTGAATGGAACTGTTATATCAATCAAGTCTTAGATTTGGTTAGACCTTCTTTGCCTGCTCTGGGAGGGTATAGAGTTCTAGACACACACTTCAGAGTCCAAGAATCCTTTCCCAAGATGTTTTATCAGATCCCCTGAAAATCAGTTTTGTTTAAACCCCCTCCCCCAGCATTGCTAAGGATGTTGTCGAAGGCACGCCACACAACCTCTTGGAGTCGGTGGCTCACTCGATCGCAAAGGCCACACTGCTCAAGTTCCCTCAGGATCTCCGCGGTCCGAGTGAAGGTTGGCAAGCCTCACGTCGCAGTGCAAGGCGTCCTGGACTATCTGGGCGTGGAGATAATGAGGCACAGAAAGAAAGAATGAGATGTTGTACACATCTGGTGATGGGGAGCCAGTTTAATGCTGATGGCAGTGCGGCTATAACCATAATCCACACTTGTTGGCAACTTGGCATCAATGTTTTATCCCTCGCGAACACAACTTGGCATAATGTTTGATGAACAAGAGAATTTGGCAGCTGTTTGACAGTGACACACTGACAGTGTGAGCTGAAATGGGAATAGAGTTTCCTGCTTGCATGCATTTCCAGCTTATATAGCTCAAATCAAGGTTTTTGTGCAATTTCCTGTGAAGCCTGCCATGGGATGGGATCAATTTGTTATGTCCCTGCCCTAGTTTGCACTGGTACGAGTGCATCTGATATACGCTGTTGGTGTACACATATTTTTTGGTAGACGAGGCGTACTGACTTGTACGAAACTGCTTGTGTGAACTGAACTGCCAACTGCCATTCAGGTCTTTTTTTTTTTGGCGACAACTGCCATTCAGGTCTTTGTAGTCACCTGGTCCACCGTTAGCGTGGCCCAAAATGTCCCAATAGGCCAATAGTCAACAGCGCACTCATCCTTTTTCAAAATCACCCAAACTACTACTCCCGTCCCAAGAAAATTACAAATATAAATTTGAACTAAGTCATAATTCTTTTCAATTTCCATTCAAGAGAGTTTGTATTTGTTTCTACGCCCTTTATTTAGACCTCGAAACCTTTTTTTAGTTTGACTAAATTTATAGGAAAATAATATCAACATTTATATCTCTAAAAAGATTTACTGTAAAAATTTATTCCTTGACTAGTATATAATAATATAATTCGGTATCATGAATGTTAATATTTTTACATAGAATTGTTTAAACGTAAAATTGTTTGACTCCTTGGAAATTGATAATCGCATTTTTCACGGAGGGAGTACTTCTGTATATGTCGACGCAAAAGCTAAAGTTTCTTGGAAACCAATTAACCAGTGCAAACTTGAAAACTACCGATCAGGACTACTAGATGTTGATCCAATGAATAGGGTGACGGGGCTTAAGCGCAAAAAAAAAGTCGGCGGGTGGAGGGCTTAAGCGCAAAAAAATCACATCTCTCATCACATCCATTGGATCAGCATCTAGCGGTCCTGATCTTTAGTTTCCAAGTTTGCACAGATTGATTAGTTTGCACCTGATACGTTGCGTTGTTGGAAATGTATAAGTAGTACGTTGCAAGCATTTCTTGACACTTCGCCGTGTTTAGTTTAGTCTGGTGCACCGTTGGCAACCACTTGTATCCACCAATGGGACCGTACTAGAAAGAAGGTACCAAAGCATAGAAAAACTAAAGCAACCCATGGCATTGCAATGGCATTGTTGATTGGTTGCCGCCTTCAACTCTTCCCTGATCATTCAGGCCCGTTCGTTGATTGAAAAAAACAAACCGTTGCCGCCTTCAAAAAACTTCCCTAATTATAAGATCCCAGGGCCTCGGTTCCCTCTTGCATCCATTCGTCTAATCTGATGCTCCTTCCTCCCGGCAGTACACGTAACATACTCAACTCAATTATTCTCTCAATTGGATCATTATTGGGCTCTCAGTCTTGATCACCTCACTCCTCCCCCATGTATTAGGCTGTCTTCAATAGAAGACCCATTGTGGAACTTAAATCCAAAATTGGTTTTCAACATAATACATATAGTCTTTAATAGAGTACCCATATGAAAGACACATTTTAGGTGCTAGAAGAGGCATAATCCAAATCAGAGTATCATCTCTCCTGAAGACCCATTTGCAGAAAGAGTTGTCTTTTAGGTCTTGTTGTTAGAGAAGACAAAAATAAGTATTGAACATTTTATCTGTAGTACTACCCAAAAGATGAATAAATCTTATATTTTGGGTCACCGTTGTTGGAGACCAGCTCAAATACTCAGTATTTTGAGTGGTGTCGTGGCCCAGAACACCGCTGCTTCAGGATGAGTTTGTTAATTGTTTTCATGCGGTCGGAGAGCATGCATGATTCCTTGCATGCTTTATGCTCAAGCAACATTATTGTATTTGCGTATGGTCCGGTGTCAATTTGGGCATACATGGATGGACCGCGCGGCACACCGAATAATCATGTACGCAGGGACATGCACGTATTAATTTATTTTAATTCAATTCAAGGAAAGCCATGCTCTCCTCTCAAACCCTAGTGAATGCGAAATCACTGAGGACGGTGAGAAAGGCTACCCCGGTTTACAAGAAGCTGAAAAGCTGCCTTGCCGCGGTGGCAGTTCTCAAGACTCAACTCTGAACTCTGAACCCGGCGAAGAGTTGGGGCTCCACGGCCTGCTGAAGGTGAAGGGACCTGCTTTCCACTATGCTCGCACGCACTCGAGTCTTCGTCGATCCCGGGCGTGATTGGCAAGCCGAGCACCGTTTAGTGTCTCACCTTATTTACGTGGCGTGTTTGGTTGTTTCGCTCGTACCTTTCGTTCTGTATTCTTTTATTTATCTGTCCTCCTCTATCTCGCACGACTTCGTCTTCTGAATTTCTCTTTCCCTCATGATACAAAATAACTTGATTCACCCAGGATGCAAGGGCCCATGTGTCAGACACCTTAAAAAACTAATGTATACATACAACCAAACACAACCCCGGCTCGTACTGAACCAACAGCGAAAACAGCCCAACACGACCACCTACACGACTACACGAGTTCAACTCGACTTCTTCGATCCTGCACAGTGTGACTCTACAACAATCACGCCCCAACTAACCGGCACCAGAACAGCAACGGAAATGAGTTGAGAGCCCAGTGAGAGAAAAAGAAGTAAGAGAGAGAGAGAGAGAGAGTCTGTCTTCGTCATTGACAACTACTACTCCCAAGTCCCAAGAAAGCAGGGCAAGCAAACCTTTGTGTCGTGGCCTTGTGGAGAGAGAGAAGACTGGAGAAAGGGAGAGAGGGAGGGGGAGGGAAGCGGAGCGGAGCGGCGGCGGCGGCGGCGGCGGCCATGGCGAGGAAGCACGGATGGCAGCTCCCCGCGCACACGCTCCAGGTGCGGTCTCGGTGGCTTTCCTCTCCGCTTCCGATCCTCGCGAATCATTCACCGGGTGCCACCACTCCTACTTGGAATTTTACCTTCGGAGTAGTTTCGCGAACTCATCTGCGTGGAGTATTTCATTAGTAGTTTTTATCACGGTTTCATTCCGTACGTGCTACTGTGCACAGGAAGAGATATGTGCTTCATTAACGTGGAGTTATTACAAAACTAAATAATACTGGGTGCAATACCCGCGACGGTGGTCCTCCTGCTATCTGCTAACTCTTGTTTTCTTTCTTCACCCCTATACAAAAACCTGCTGTCTATCTCTAGGACTTGGTTTTCTCCTCAAAGTCTGAAACACCTGCAAACTCATTCAGTAAGCATGGCTTGATCATGTTGTTAGTTTGATGATTAAACCTGCTCTCTGATGGCCCAGGTCCTGTTTTATTTTTACCCTGTTGACAGTGAATCTTTTTTATATTTCACAAATATGAAACCATGGCGCTCTAATGGATGTTGATTGATTCCTAAAAGTTTATCCTGTTAATATAATTATTTCTCAATACTTACTTGGGTTAAACGAAAGAATTCTCAATACTGCATTTGGGCTATAGTACCGTTGACAAAATTTCAGACTACTAATGAAAAGACTCCAAAGGCATTGTAATCAAGGTAGAAAGTTATAGGTATGCACCTTGTTTTTCAACATTACATATTAATATAATTATATTGTCAGCCAGCCATTTGCTTCAGATCATCGTTCTCTGATAATAAAACACAGACTTATCCAAGCCATTCTGTTTTTTCATTTTTGTGAACAGTGGAATAACAAATTTCTTAATATCTCATGGAACAGATCATTGCAATTATGGTTTTCTTCCTTCTGGTGATTGCTTTTTATGCATTCTTCGCACCATTTCTAGGCAAGCAAGTCCTTGGATATGTTGTAGTCGGTATCTATACTACTGTGGTAAGCCTGCCAAAATGCACCTGCATTGTATTTCTCTGTCATTATTTGAAGGAATTTATGTCTTTGTCATAGTTTCTACTTGTGTGTGTTCTGTCAGGTGTTTTCTGTCTTCATCCTTTATATCCGCTGCACTAGTATAAACCCTGCAGATCCTGGAATCATGTCAAAGTTTGACAGTGGCTTCATCGATGCACCTGGAAGTACTGCCAACATACAGGGCACGAATTTGCCAACAAAAGCTGATATTGGTGCTGGAACAACCTCCCCAACAGCAACATCTACTTGTAGGAACTCTCTAGACGGGCGTTCTAACACTGGTGGTTTAGCTGCTGGAGACACGAATCAGGATTTAAGGTCTCAGCCACCAAGAAGTTCAAGGAGCTGCTTACTTGGAGGGCTTGTTTGTGCTTTGTTTGTGAAGGAGGATTGTAGGAAATTCGATGATTCAGAGAATCAAGTTGATGGGGAAGACGCCTTGTTCTGCACGTTATGTGATGCCGAGGTACATTCATATGTGGGACTGTTCAACATTGCAACCATGTAGCATGTTTTTTCTTATCCTTAGTCAGCAGGTTCTATCTGTCTTAATTGCTACACAACTTGGGTCAGAAGGAAAACTTGTGTTGTCAGCTCTTGCTGATTTAGAAAGATGGTTTTTCAGGTTCGCAAATTCAGTAAGCATTGCAGAAGTTGTGACAAGTGTGTGGATGGATTTGATCATCACTGTCGGGTATTTCTTACATAGGAACTGAAATTTCCTTCAGTTTTTAAATCATCCATATCTTATGTTTGCATCTTCGGCAGTGGCTAAATAACTGTGTTGGACGGAAGAACTATTTCACGTTTCTTGCTCTGATGACTACTAGTCTCCTTTGGGTCTGTTAAGTGACCTTACACAATCTCCATTCTACATGCACCATGTTTTATTTAATTCAAGTATCTGCTAAACTATTTATGATTTTCTGTAGCTTGCTATTGAAATTGGAGTAGGCATTGCTGTTCTTGTTATATGCTTTGCCAACAAGAATTCAAAGAGAATTATTCAAGACAGGCTTGGGAATGGCTTGCCTCGGCCTGCCTTTGCTACCATTGTAGTAAGTTGTAGCAGAAATTGTCACTACTTTATAGCGCAATTTTGATTTTACTACAAAATTATCACATGTGATGACTGGATTTCTAGAACTGTCTTCTACTATAAAGATATGACAATGCCACACTGTTTCCTGTTTGCATGTCTTCATTAGAGCAAGGCTTTGTGATTAAGTGGATGAATATAATTTTTTTTTATGTGCAGGCCTTTTTTACTCTTCTTTCTCTAGTCGCTTGCATACCTTTAGGGGAACTTTTCTTCTTCCACATGATCTTAATCAGAAAGGTTTGTCTCACAGTTTTCACCAAGTACAATATGTATGATAAGGCATGTTGTTTTTACTATATTGCTTTAATTTGTTCTTCTTAGGGGATCACAACTTATGAATATGTCGTTGCAATGAGAGCTATGAGTGAAGCACCTCAAGAGGAAGAGGACGAGGAGGGGCTAAACATTGTTTATTCCCCAACAAATTCAGCTACCACTGCATTCAGTGGTGCTAGTGCACTTAGTCTGCACTACAAGGGTTCATGGTGCACACCTCCAAGGATTTTTGTTGATCAGGTAATTAGAATAGTTAGCAGACCGCTTTGAAACTTTCGGGCCTGCTACTATATCTTTGAAAGTTCAGTAACAATCTGCAAAGTAGAAATGGTATGTACCACTGTAGGGATTCTTTTTTAATGTTTCTGCACTTCCAACCTTGAAACAGGATGAAGTGATTCCACATTTGGAGCCAGGGATGGTACCTTCAACCATTGATCCTGATACTGCTGGACATGCTGAAAGAGCCAACAAAGCCAAGAAGCAAGTCAAAATCAGTGCCTGGAAGCTTGCAAAGCTGGACAGCAATGAGGCGATGAAGGCTGCTGCTAAAGCCCGGGCATCATCGTCTGTCCTCCGACCTATTGATACCCGCCGGGTTCCAGGTGCTAGCCCTAGCTCTAGTGGCAATGCCAGCATGAGAAGCAGCATGAGTGCTGATTACAGCGCCAGTGGCACCAAGGAAAGGGGGGCTGGTATGAAGTTGTTGTCTCTTCAGAGTTCCTCGTATCCTCAGAGCCTTGCAAGCCAGGACGACTATGAGTCGGGCACGCAGAGTGCTAGCAGCAGAAGCAGCCCGGTCCAGATTCACAAACCCGCACCTCACACTCAGATCAACGTGCCACCTCGTGTGCCTCCAGCACCTCCAAGGCCTGCGCCGGCCGTACCGAGGCCACATGTTCCAACCACGCAGATATCCAAGCCAATGTTCCAGTCAGCAACATCTTATGTCCGTGAGAACCGAAAAGCCTCGGTTGTTTGGGATCAAGAGGCTGGTCGGTATGTGTCAGTTGCACCCGCGACAAGGCCAGTAGCTGGTAGTGGTCTTGATCAACCAGCAAGAGGACCGCATTTCTTGACAAACCCAGATAGCGAGCCAAGCAATCACGGGAGAACCCTCTCACCCATGAATGCTCCTTCCTCAGCATTGCCATCTGGACAGCCGTCCGAGAGGTTGACATACACTGGGCAGTCGATATTCTTTGGTGGACCACTTCTAGGTGCTGCTGCTGCTGCTGATCCTCAGAGGAATGATGCTGCCGCAGGCGCACGGCCGGAAACAAGGAGGGATGGCACTAGGGGAGAGAGGAGACGAACTGCGGAGTCCTTCCCGGTGTTTGCTCCAGGATCCTTTCAGAAGAACCCGCCGTTCAACGGGTGAGCTCATGGCAGTATGGCACACGTTTGCTGACCATCATGACCGCGACAATGGGATGATCATTACTCAACAAGGAGCCCTTAAGAGTCCAAGGATTTCAATGGTGATCGTCACCGATTCCACAAGCAGAAAAGGCGTCACAAGAACATGCTTGAAGTCTGAAATGAGGGTATCCTACTGTTGAGCTTGCACCCGAGCTTGAGGATGTGAGTGTCTGAGCGAAAAATAACATCCACAAGTACAAATGAACCGTGCAGGTGTCAAGAAACCTGAAACAGGAAGCACAAGTACAAGGCGTGACTGATTGGGGTGTAAATTTTTGCTCGTTTCGTTAGAGTAACCTTTACGTCCTCTTTGTAGTGCTTGATAGTTCTGCAAAATCGTTTCAAAAGGAGAAGTTTGAGATTTGATAGAGCTTTTTAACTTGTTTTCGTTCATCCGAAAGGCACCTCATTCTGTGAAAACCCACAGAATTGTTACTGGAGTAAATTGCAGAAGAACATGTACATGTTTGTAGTGAAATTCATAATATAATACAGCCTGCACAAAGTTTATATGGTTTCAATCGGCATTGAACATTTGAACTCCAGGCTCCGTGGTCCAAAATTTTTACCGGAACTGGGGAGCAGATTGAAAACCTAACATTTGGTTCGGGTGAGTGGTTGACTGAGGTCTCAAGACGCCTTACCACATCAATACATGTGAAAATCGATTGGTGTGATTCGAAGCGTTTTTACTGTATCTATCTACTAAACAGTAAGCATCTGAGAAGTATTGTTCAGAAATTTCTCATTTGCCAAGATTAAATTTTGATAGATTATATACCACTCACCACTGGGGTTGCCTTGTCCCCAGGCCTCATGTTGGCGTTGTAGATCAATCATAGTAATTTTGACGCTAATTCGAGAAAGAACTTAAATCTAACAACAAATGTCAGAGCTTGATCTACAATATCATCTAATCCAACTGTAAAATATTATAGGTTAACTGAAAAAAATAGAGAATCCACTACACCTATTTTAGTCAGATCATAAACCCATATATCAATATAGATAGGAGAATAAAGATATATATCACACTCCGTCCCAAATTATAGATTATTGGTTTTTCAAGTGCATAGCTTTTGTATATGTCTAGATACATAATAAAAGTTGTATGTCTAGAAAACCCAAAACGACATATAAATTGGAACGGAGGACGATATGTAAATTGGAACGGAGGGAGTAGTACCGTTTAATTTCTAGAATTATTAATAGACAAATTTACCTTGATAGCTAATTAGTGATAATGATGTTGTTCATCTTATGATTGGAGTTTAACTATGGACATCATGTTTCTCACCCTAAAATTAATCTTCACAACATACATATCACAGGAAACTCAAGATTTTTTTTATTAGGCCTGGTGCAAGCGGTAGAGTCTTACCGCCTGTGACCGGAAGGTCTCGGGTTCGAGTCACGGTCTCCTCACATTGCACAGGCGAGAGTAAGGTTTGCCACTGATACATTTCCCTACATCCCGCACAGAGCGGAAGCTCACTATACTCGTACGTCCTTTTATCATTTTTATTCACTGCAAGTCTAATTGACTTTAGTTTGACCAAATACTAGTAGAGTGCATCATCAGGGAGAGAAACGAGAGCAAGAGGCGAAACAACTATAAACAGCCAACAATATTTTCCTCAACAAACCAGCACCGTGGGAGGCTTCAGGCAGGCAGTTAGCAGCCATGAGCGGCGGCGGGCTGGAGGTTGAGGTTCGCGTGGTGGGCGGCACCAGGAGCTGCTTCGCCGCCCTCCCGCTCCACCTCATCCACGCCCTGGAGCGCACCTCCGCCACCGGCGACCTCCCGCCCGTCCTCGCGCTCGAACTTCGCGGCCCCGCCGGCGCGCGCTGGTCCCTCGCCTGGTCCGGCGCCGCGTCCCGATCCCGCGCCATCGAGGTGAGCGGCCCCCCAGCCACATCCCGCTGTACCTTTGTCACTTGAAGTCCCTGTGGGCGGGAATTTTCCAGAATTATTCGTCAATCCTCGGTTGAATCGATGCTTGCTGTCGGAAATTGGGAATTAAGTTTGTCACTTGCTCGATATACTGGAGTGAATTTGGTCGTGGAGTGTCGACAGAGACACAGAGTGATGCTGTGGTCTTCACAGTTTGACGTGAGATTTTGGAGTTATAGCCTTGTAGCAAGGGATCAAAACCCTCAAGCTCTTTCATATTTCCGTTTCAGTTTTGTATTGTTTTCGATATCTCTGCATGTAGAACTCTGACAACCCTCTCTTGCTTGTCCTCAGTTTGGTTACCTCAAACACCCTCCTGTGGGTGTACATTATATTTATGCAGCAAAAGCGCACCAGATATTTGCGATATTGTTATATGAATGGTCTGTCTTGCAGGTTGCACAAGAGTTAGCAGAATGCATCTCGCTGCCTGACGGAACTACAGCACAGTTGAACGTAGCTCGCTCTTTGGCCAAAGCTGACTCAGTCAATATTGAACCCTACAGTGAGGATGACTGGGAGATACTGGAGAGCCGTGCTGATTTGGCTGAAGAAACAATCTTGAAGCAGGTGTTCTTTGCTTTCTCTTTTTTCCTTCAATATGTCTGTTATTCTTGCGTAGTGTAGTAATTCCATCCTGCTACCTTTTTAATTTTTTTGGTGCATAAATATATTTATTTATTTTTTGAAATCAGGTCGGCATCGTTTATGAGGGCATGAAATTCCCATTGTGGTTGGATGGACATAATATTGTGAAGTTCGTTGTCATGTCATCTTTCCCTGAGAAGACAGTTGGTATATTTTTTTTCTGCATTATTGTGCTAACTTATACAACTTGTGTTACAACTATTAGTTTATGTTCTTTTCAATATCCTTTTACATATAATACAGCTCAAAGGTGATATATTTGTTCATCTTTCTATATGAACATTAAGTTTGTGTGAATTCGTTTTGAAATAGGTTACTGACACTTGTTAATAAGTAATTATGCTGTAATCATGGTAGAAAGCAACTGTTGTGTACTTCACTAAACACAATAACTCTTTACCTTCTGATTTAATCTTCCAGAAGTCATTCCTGATTCACCTGTAAACAAATTTGTGCTATCCATATTCTTGTCCATTTTTCCCTTTGGAATTTGGCACTAGGTGTCCTAAGACTAATTACCTATGGCACCTAACTTGGGGATACCCATCTATATCATAATTCATGCTGGGTGCCTAATGGAATTATGGTCTTTAAGGTTAATGTTAACTTCAGCCAAACATGTTATGTGTAGTCTAACATATCTTACTAGTATGTAGCAGCTACATTTTCCAAACTTAGATATATATTTGAAAAATCCAGCTTAATTACATCTTTTTTGGCGACAAAATTACATCCTATTCCTTCTAATAAAATGTTTCAGAATTTAAACTTTTTCTTCTTAATATAATGAAGTGCAGCTCTCCTGATGGATAAGTCTTTGTGGGGCTGGTCTTTGTGGGGCTGCTGCATGGTGGTTATCAAGGACAGCATCCTTAACTGAAGGACAGCATCTAGGACAGCATCTAGGACTAGCATCTTAGACTCTAGGACAGCATCTTAGGACATCATCTTAGAGGACAGCATATTAGCATCTTAGACTAGCATCTTGGCATATGCTTGGCTGGCTAGCAGCCTATAAATATGTATCCCCAACCCCTCAGGTTGGCATGGCATTTTGTGTGAGTTTGTGTGAGAAATAAAACCAGAAAATTGCCCCAACTCCTAGTGTCATCCTCTCTCGATGAGAGTAAGAATTCTGCTACTACCAAGAGTGAGAGTTCAACGACTAACATCTCCTGCGCTTTTGAGAAAAAAAAATCAGAATTTGAAGTATGGGTATCAATTTTGATACATTCATGAGTATATATTGTCTGATGAGTATTACTGTAACTAATGTACACCTTATGAAGAAATGCTAAAGATTTTCTTTAAAAAAACTGTGGCATCGTATTAGTTGTTCCAACGTCCCTTCTATATAATAGCATGTAATGTTATTAATTTCATAGTAGATAATCTGTTCAATAATGTTCCTTATTTAACTTGTTAAGTTTATCTATTGTTAAGGATCCACTGTATTTTTCTTTCTTTTAGTTCAACTTGTACCAGGCACTGAAGTTGCTGTTGCACCCAAAAAACGAAAAGAGAAGCCTTCTCAGGATCTGCAAAAGCAAAGTGCACTGAAAGAACAAGTCAAAACAAAGGCACTCCTGCGTGTTCAAGCAGCTGATAGAAAGTATGCACATACATTCAAATATAAAGGTGTTGAGATAGGTGTGGTTGTCAGCTATGCTGTGCTAATTCATCCTGATACAGCTGCAAGTATTTCGGTTGGCAATCTCCAATTAGTCACTGTTTCACCTAAATCGTCAAAGAAAGGACTAGCTCTAAAAGGCAAAGAAGTTGGACCAAAAAAGGGAATTTCAGTAACTAAAGAAAGGGCCCATGAAGCCATTGTTTATATCTTACTTTCAGACTCTGTTGCAAAAGGGCATGTTATGCTTCCCTACTCTATTCGTCACTTCATAAGTGCTGATGTACATTCATGTGAGTATGCAGATCTTTCTTCCCTTCACCTTGAAACAGCTAACTTATATAGTCTCTGAATTCTTATATAGACTTTGAATTTTGATTGAGGAGAAAGCATTTCCCAGCAACTATTTTGTCAGTGTACTGTTGAATCTTGTCTGCTGTTTGCTGTACAATACTAAAGTGTGTTTACTGATCCTAGGGGTATATATTAAGACATATTCAGCCAACATCAAGGAGGATGCACCTCTAGTGACAATATCTCCTTTACAGTTCAAGATGCGTGTGAAAGATGCCCATGATAGCAGTAAATTAGTCAGTCAGGAAGCGGACACTTCAAGGATAACCAGGATTCCTTCAGAAAATATTGATTTCTTCCAGAAAGCTCGTTACAGTGAAAGCGAAAATCTTCAAGGTGCAGATATTGAGAGCATTTCTGAATCAGTGTCAAA